AAAAAAAAAAAAAAAAAAAATGAAAAAGCAAAAGATAGTTTGAGGAATAAATACTATTTTGTCGACATAATGATAAAAAGTTACGACAATTCTCATTCGTTAGTGCATCCTATTTACAGAGTTACTATCTTGAAAGCTTTGAATAATTTTCATCTAATTTGTTCGCGTTGTTTTAAAAGCCGATATCACTAGAGATATCGTGAATTATTTCATTCACTTAAATGTTAATTGAATCGTACGTTGTACGCTCCTGGATAGAAATATAATATTTGTAAATTTGATAATTCGACGTGTTTGACTGTAACTTAACATCAGCAACGTGCAGCAACTTGTTCAGAATCTGCATGTTGCCTTGTGTTGTATCCATGAACAAACTGTTTCCCAAATTTATGGGACTGCGACTCGAGTAACATTTAATACAGTTGACATTGCGACTCAGGAAGTTTAGGAAAGGGATAAGGTAAACGACAATGAAGAACAAGGACGGAAATCGTATAGGAAACGAGTGCACGCGATGGGGATATCAGAAAAGAAATTAATTCTATTGTAAAAAGTGAACTCTGAATTGTTCCTGTAGTAGTGACGATTGAAATGTGATAGAGAGAAGGGGAGGTGGCAGCATACAGTTCAGGGAAAGAGTAATATGCGCATAAAAACGTCGGGAAAATGTTCGTCAAAGGAGGCTCCTAGAGAGGGAAATTTACAATCGAAGAAGAGATACATTCTGGAGATGGTCGCCTCCTCAGTGATGAAGACAAGAGGCAATCGTGAAACTTGAGGTGAGTTTTTGAAATATAATCTAACAGTTTCACACAATTGAAAAGCTTGTTTGGGCACTAAGGTACGAAGGTTTTTGAAATTACAAATCCTCAAAGTCTACTATTTCGTTCTGTCACAACACAGATGTCCGAGTTTCCCTTGGCGGATAATTTTGAATTTTTAAGAAACAAACTTTGTTCCTTCTTCTCCCTTTTCTTTTCTTTCTTTTTTTTTTTTTTTCAATTATCTTTGTGGCAACCTTGGGAACATTTCAAACGAATGAAACGAGAGGTATTATTATTATTATTATTATTATTTTTTTTTTTTTCAAATAATACACTCCAGACACTATGGCTGAAAGTCGGATTAGTTTAAACGAGGAGTGAGATGAAGACCCAGACCGAAATAGGTGTTCCAGCAGAGAACATTATCAACATCAGAGAGCCTCAGTGAACCGAGGACATGTTTCTCTTTAAAAGAAATTAGCAGTGATACCTTTCAGGGCTCTTGGCCTCCTCTCGAGTGCTCTAGAGCGCAGAGTGCAGAGTGCAGAGTGCAGTGCATGAGGTATTCAGTTCTCGGCGTCCTTATTAACGATACAGTGGTGCGAACTACGTCTCTTTGTCACGGTCGAAAATTCTAAAATATATGGAAAAATTAGAAATAAAAGATTCCGATTTTTCAGGAGTTCATATAAATATATATGGAGTAGATATTAATTGAATGACATATATTTTCATTGGAAGGTTAATTCAATTTTCTATTCTTCTTTTTATTTTCGTTTCTTTGTATTTGCGTATTTCTATTCGTACGAAATTACACAATGCAAGACTTTTTAGATATTCAATGGGATGAGAAGCCGCATTAAAATCAGACGACCGGATAATATTCGATCATTGAAAAATTAAATTTTTCATGTTTAAACTTAAACTGCCGAAACGTAAACGATCTAAATACAAATGTAGCAAAATACAACATACAAGGGGATTTAAAGTACATACACGTCATTAAAATAACAGTTGAGTTAAAGCGAAAACGAAGTTCAAACATATAAAGTGTTATTTTTTCATTGAAATGTAATTACTGGCTGGTAATTTACACGATCGTAACTTTATACACGCACACATATAAGAATTATTCGATTGTAATCTAATGTACTTGCTGAAAATGATCTGAAAAGCAATTATTGTCTATAACATCATCAGTAGAAAAATCTTTACTTTCGACTTCATTTTTCATGTTGAATCACTACTATAGCTATGAATATGTTTCAATTGTTTCGTTATTATAACTACTTGTTATAACGGATATGTTTTTCTTTTTTTTTTTTTTTTTTTTTTTACAAATACATGGGAGGAACAATATATATATCAATATATCGAAATAACAAGTGATACGATAAGTGTTAAAGGTACAGGAAGGAAGTGCGTATATCCCGCAAAGAGTGCTCCATAAATATCGGAACCTGTCGATTGGTTATTATCAATTATCCACTCCAGCTCTTCATCAAACAACTACGGGAATCCCCCCTATCTTTACACCTTTTATACGCAAACTGCTCGTGTTCTGTTTAGCAAAAAATGTTATCAGTTATCAGTTAGTTGTTATAATGGAAGATTATAAAAATAGAGCACCGCTAAAAAGACCGGAAGAAAATTTAAATTCATCGAAATTCAAATGTTCCATCTCATCCAGAAACTAGGTTTTCCATTTTACTTTCTCAAAGAGTGATATTTGAAACGATTTCAACTAACATTGGATATATAATATTGTTGTATAGTTGTACAATATTAGTTCAAATTTTGTTTTTTTTTTTTTTTTTTTTTTTTTTAGGATATCGTTTTTAAAATGTAACAAATCTATTCAGCAGAAAAAATAGTGTTTCGCCGCACATCATCATTGTAAATTCTGGACTTTCTGTATTTCGTTTGTCAAATAATTATGTTCTATATTACGAACAATTGAACAGAATTATTTTCAATTTCCATCGAGTATGAGACATCTCAAGGTAACAATGGATTTTGTTAATGGCGGACTTTCATTAAACGTCGTCCGTTTTGTACTTGAATTCGCTTAATTAACTTCTATTTTATTTTATATACTAGGTTTAGCATGCAGTTATATATATATATATATATATTTATTTCACAATCGTGCCGAATTTACACAAACACAAACAAGCTGCACTATGCTTATTTGCATAGGTGAGATTTCCTAGAAACGATTCCGCTGTTTAAAAGAGAAATGCGAAACGGTAAATAACGACTCCAAGGTTGAATGGCTCCGAAGATTTTACAATCAAAGAATTGCCCAACTTACACACGTTGACAATGTCATCGAACGATCTTTCGATGCAAT